GGGGTAGAGCAGCTGGGGTGCTGCCGGGTTGGTCCTGCGGGGACTTCCCCGACAGTGCCCCAGCTGTTCTGTCCCAGGAGTCCAGATTCAGCCGCAGTTGAAACTGATCAGCGGCTGATTTCAGGAAGCCGGGGGCAGAGCAACTTTGCTTAGGGCTTCCTGTAGTCAGCCGCTGATCAGTTTCAGCAGTGGCTGAATCTGGAGCCAGTTCTGACTTACATACAAATTCAACTTAAGAACAAACCTATAGTCCCTATCTTGTACGTAACCCGGGGACTGCCTGTAATTCTCATACTCTTTGTATGAGAAGGAGTAGGAAGAAGCTCTAGTTTGAAATAAGTGCTGTGTGTTACCCAAACTGTGTGCCTTGCCTGGGGAACAGGGTGGTTGGGAGCTGAGAAGGCAGGAACAGGGTGGTTGGGAGCTGAGAAGGCAGGTGGGCAGGCTCAGTGGTATGACCACCACATCAGGTGACAGCCCCAAAGTGACCTCTGTGATCAAATACATTACACAGGGTTATTTAACATTTTTATAAATTATCTTGAAACAAAAAGTGGGACCTATTAATAAAATTTGTGGATGACACAAATTTGGGAGGCATAACCAATATAGAGGAGGACTGGAATATTATACAAGAACATTTATCTGAATGACCTTGAAGGCTGGAATAATAGAAATAGGATGAAATGTAATAGTGTAAAATGCAAGATTGTGCACTTAGGAACTGACAACAGGAATTTTTACTATTAGCTGGGTACATATCAGTTGGAAGCAGCAGAAGAGGAAAAAGACCTGTGTACATTTGTTGATCACAGAATAATTACGAGTTACTAATGTGATGTGGCCATGAAAAGAGCTAACACAGACTTAGGATGCATCAGCCACAGTATTTCCATTAGACACAAGGGTATGTTAGTTCCCTGATATGTGGCTTTGCTGAGACCTCACCTGCAACACTGTATGCAATTCTGGTGTCCAATTTTTAGGAAAGACGAAGACAGACTCAAAGAGGTGCGAAGAAGGGAGAATAGAATGATCAATGGAATGGAAAACCTACCTTATGAGAGGAAAGACAAAGAGCTTGGCTTGTTTAGCCTAGCCAAAAGCAAGCTAGGGAGAGAGATGACTGCAGTCTATAAATACCTATAAATACCGAGGGCAAAATACCTATTTAAACTTATTTAAATTGAGTGTTATCTTTTACACAAACAAAATGGATTTAAAATGGCCATTAATATGTTTTAATTGAAATTAGACAAAGATTTCTTACCATCCGAATGAAGTTCTGGGACAATTTTCTACAAAGGATAATGGGGGCAAGAAACTTAACAGGCTTCAAGGCTGAACAGGATATGTTTATGGGAGAGAATGGTATGGTGAGACTGCCTGCAGTGGCATGTAGCACATATGTGACTACTAATAGCAAATATCTATCTCCAGCGATCAGTGATGGAACACCACGTGGGGAGGGCTTTGAGTTACTACAGAGAATTGTTTCCCAGTTATCTGGCTGGTGAATCTTATCAACATCCTCAGGGTCTAACTGATCATCATATTTGGGGTTGGAAAGGAATTTCCTCCCTGGTCAGATTGGCAGAGACTCTCAAGGGGTTTTGCCTCCCTCTGAAGCATGGGGTATGTATCACTTACAGGTTTAAACTATGTAAATGGTGGATTGTCTATAACTTGGAGTTTTTAAGTCATGATTTGAGGATTTCAGTAACTCAGCCAGAGATTATGGGTTGGTGAAGTTCTTTGCCCTGCAACATGCCCCAGGATCAGGATGAGGATCAGGTTGGTCCCTACTGGCCTAAAAGTCTAGGGCTATGTCTAGACTGGCATGATTTTCCACAAATGCTTTTAACGGAAAAGTTTTTCCGTTAAAAGCATTTGCGGAAAAGAGCGTCTAGATTGGCACGGACGCGTTTGCACAAAAGCACTTTTTGTGGAAAAGCGTCCGTGCCAATCTAGATGCGGTTTTGCACAAGAAAGCCCCCATCTCCATTTTCGCAAAAGCGTTTGCACAAGAGGGCTTTTGCCCGAACGGGAGCAGCATAGTATTTCCGCAAGAACACTGACAATCTTACATGAGATCGTCAGTGTTCTTGCGGAAATTCAAGCGGCGAGTGTAGACAGCTGGCAAGTTTTTTCGCAAAAGCAGCTGCTTTTGTGGAAAAACTTGCCAGTCTAGACGCAGCCTAGGAGTCTATGAGACTACCTTAAATGAAAATGACAATGAGTACTCATTATGGCCATTTTAAATGCTAGTAAGCCTCATAGTTTATTTCTTTGAAAGGGGACACATGAAGCAAAAAGAAAATTGATTTTAATATACAACTTCATTTTAATATACAGGCAGTCCCAGGGTAACGTACAAGATAGGGACTGTAGGTTTGTTCTTAAGTTGAATGTGTATGTAAGTCGGAACTGGCTTCCAGATTCAGCCGCTGCTGAAACTGACCAGCGGCTGACTACAGGAAGCCAGAGGCAGAGTTGCTCTGCCCCGGGCTTCCTGGAATCAGCTGCTGATCCGTTTCAGCAGCCGCTGACTTGGG